AGGAATTAATTCTGTGTGGGTTACTGAGTGTGTAGGCTTATATGGATGAGACAGACTGAGTGTGTGAGTATGTCAGTTTGTGAATGCATTTGTTGTAAGTGCAACACAGGAAACAACCACAGAGTAAATGGCTTCAGAGCTGCAAGGAGAAACTTTCAGTTAACCTTCAGGCTAGTAGTATATTCTATTTACAAAAGCCAGGGAGATTTATAAAACCCTTCCCACTGCCACACTGCAAGGCATTCTGTAGAAGGTAAGCATATTTTGCAGAGAGGACACTGGGGAAAGTTAGCCGTTTTAAATTTCAGCATTTGCAAGATCTGAAGCAACTAATAGGAACGGGGATATTTAAAGGTAAAGAAAAGCCACTGATCAACGTCTGTACTTTAAATTCTCCAAAACTGAAGGCAAAAAGACAGAATTTTTGATATAGTTCCAATAGAATAAAACGATCTATACAAAGTGGACTAAAATGGACAAAATGAAACCTAAAAAAGGATTAGCAAATAACAAAGAATAAAGCTACACACCATAACATCAAGGACACATTTTCTAGCCATTCATGTCTAAGGGTATTTATAGAAATCTTAGTAAAGACCCACACTCTGGTTATAACTATGTATTATTTGTTTTATACATATATACATATTTTAATATATCTACCCATAATTCTACTCAAGTTAACTACCTATTAAATTTCATAGTTTATACATTTTAACTATTTATTGTCCTCCATCCCCAGAAGTATAAATTCTATAAGAGTAGTGAATTTTTATCTCTTTTATTCACTGTCATATTCTCCAAACCTGAAATAATACCTGGCATGTAGAAGGTACTCATTCACATATTTTTTAATGATTCCAGAGCACAGGCTCAGCTTAATTTCCACTAATTATTTTCATTGCCTTTACAAAGTCACAATAACGAGGGACCATTTTAGGTATTATAAAGGCCTAAAAATAACCTTTATTATAATTTTAATTTGGGGGATCAGAATGGGCAGAACAGATAAACACTGTCTTGTAGTGGGCAAAGTTTAAAAAACTGACTCCTTGTTTGGAGATGTGAACAGGTAAGACCAATTAGAGTATAAAGGTGGGACATCTCCTTATGTGCCAACTGAAAAGAAACTACTGAGTTTGAAATAAAAGCATTTATATCATTTACTCATATTTACAGCCACTAGACAGAATTCAAGTTCAAATGCATTTAAAGAAATCTCTGCTAATGGTGGGGGGCACAACACTTGTGAAATAAGCAATTTATTAAATTTACTTTTAAATGTATTCTTTTTTTTCTTTTTGTAATATTTTCCATTATCAAGGAGTTAACTGTTTTAAGTGGAGATATAATTCACATAGCAAAACTCACTATTTTAAAGTGCATAAATCATTGATTTTTAGTACATTCGCAAAATTGTGTAGCCATCACTAGTAATTCCAGAGCATTTTCATCATCCTCAGAGAAATTCTATCCGTAAGCAGCCATTCTCTATATCCCCCCAGCCTCGGCAACCACAAACATACTGTCTATAAATTTGCCTATTTTTACATTTTGTATGAATGGAATCATACAATATGTAACATTTTATGCCTGGCTTTACTTCTCTTGTTTAACTAAAACTGCTTTGCCTCTTTTGTTCCCTAAACCTCTAAAGATATCATTATCTTTCTCTCCTCCTGTAGTATATTAAACTCACCCATCTTTTGGTTCCCACCCAGACCCCTTCATCTAATCTCATTACTGCTATCTAGCCACTCATTATAATGTAGATCACATCTGTCTCCTGCCTTTCTATTACTATGGCCAGGCCATATCCAGACTCTCACTGCCCCTTACCTAGAACACATTTTTGCTCCCAGTCTCCTCTCTCCAACCATCCTACAATGTTGCTCTTAAGCATCTTTCTAAAGCACAACTCTGATTACATCCCTACCCTGCTCAAAAGCTTTTATAATTTGGTCCCAGCCTACTTTGCCTATTTCTATCTTTTCTCCCACTCCCTAAACTACAGACAAACTGATTTTGATGTTTTCTCCCATCCTACTTTAATTATCAATTTGTCTGTTTGTCTCTGCCATAAATTATAAGTTTTAAAAAATATATCAGTGTGAAAAGAGAGATTTATACAAATAAAAATGTTCCAAGAAATTAAAGGCAGCTATGCCATAGAAAGATAAAAGTAGACTTAGTAAGATTTTTTCAGTGTGGTTCTGATTACTAGAAATCTCTGCGGACAAATGTAAGGTGCAGAGAAATGTCAAATATAAAAAGTTACCAATAGCATCACAACTACTTGAAAGAATGACATATATTTGGGTTCTGTATCAAATATATATAAGTTAAAATTTTAGATCTTTTAGTTCTCATGCACTTGTAGCTAACAAGAGCAGTAGGTATCATATTATTATTAGTTCCACACTACCACATGGAAGAACAGTTTTTTATTTTGTGGTGAATATTTTATCAATATGACATTCTATCAAACAAAAGCAGAAAAAAATTATTATTTTAACAGAAAGCAATTCTCTGGCCCAATCAAACAAAAGACAAAATCACAGGGCCAGATTCGCCCTCATAATCTCAGGATTCGATCACATACAGCACCCAACACACAGACAGGACATAAAAGAGAGGTTTTCCAATAATTTTGTCAAAATAGTTGAATAACAAAACATCAATATTGGACTAATTAGTATTTTTTAGAAAATATCTTCAGTTATCCACAATGTAAAGATGATGTAAGCTCATAGGAGCTATAAGCCATAAACTAAACAAAACGTATGAATGAACATAATTACACTTTTGCCCACACAATCCTGTGAGTGTAACTCAGACTCTAAAAAAAACTGGTGGGCAAAGAAAACCTTTTCTAAAGTTCAGGACAAATATAATTGCTCGGATTGAGAGAGAAGAAAAGTAGACTAAAAGAAAAGATGTATTCTATTTTATAGATTTTTCTCTTGGGTGTAATTATAAAGCGACACTCAAGTGCAACCAATGAAGCACCTATTTTTTCTCTCACAAAATTCAAAGACATCAGCAAAACCACCTATGTCGGTAATAAAAATAAAAAGTCTTTGACTTTTTAAATGTTATCATACTGTCACAGTGGAATAAAATTAGCTTGAAAAATGATCTAAAGGCACATGATGCAGTTCATTATGTATAACAGCAACAGCAGCGGTTTCCCAGTGTTCATAAAGGCTGCTCCATTAAATTTACCTCCAGTCAATAATTAGGAGTCCACAAATAAACCTGGGCAATTAAATCAATACTGCCTGGCAATTATATTCCAGAGTCCAGGCTCAGTGGCACAAAAAGGCACTATATCAAGCTGCAGTATTAAGCAGTCTGATGCCATTTTCAACAGGATTTTTTTATACTTACTGGACAGAATAAGCATACATTCAGCTAATGTAGAATGTATGCATATACCTCTCCATGTGTTAACTAAAAAAATTCAGGTCCAGTGTCGGTACAGTTTTAGCAAAATTTAACAAAGCTTTATACGTATAGATTTGTTATTTTTATAGTCATAATGGATGATAAAATTTCTAATTCAAATAAATACAGGCCATATTTACGAAGTGAACATTTTAAAAATTCATTAAAAAGTTTATTTTTATCATCTTCCAGTTGAAAAGAAAAACCTCATTACAATCATTATTGAATTCTTTGGTGTACCAGCCACTGAGCTAGGTTCTGGGAGTACCACACGATTAAGAAACGGCCTCTGTTCTCAAAAGCAAGTAGTCAGTGTAAAAGGCCTTGTCTAGCACCTGCACATCTACACTTACACAACTTTAAGCAAATGATTTTTAATCGCCTACTGTTATTAAAGTGATTCCAGACAATGTCTCAATAATATATCAAACTGATACTAACATGAATAGTTTATATACTATTTACTTATTCTTGACTTTACCAAAAGCACAGAAACTGATTCTTGTTAATATAAATGTAAAATAATTGCATTTAATATCAGTTTCTATTTTTAATCTTTACACAGAAACATTTAAAATGACTTTCCTAAAATCACAGGACAATTTTTGGGGTACTTTGACAAATATGTTTTGGCTTTTATTTAGTCCATTTAAAAAATAAACAATTAGGTTGAGCCAAAAGAACTATAATGAAAAAGTTTTAGAATACATTACATGCTGTCAGTGATGTCAAAACAAAAGCTGGCTATGACTAGAAAAGCAGGGCTCTCACCTGCCAATAAACTGCCCTTGATCACTTACAAGAGGGGCGCATCCCAGTAGACTATATGTGTATTAAAAAAATACTTGAAAGGGAAGAAAAAGTATCACACAGGTCACAGCAGCAGTCTCAATAGACCCCTCAGGGATTTCAACTCGTCTTGGCCTTGTCATCCTCTATGCAGCTTTCCACTCGGCCCAGAAAATGTCGATAGGAAAATGTTTGAGGGGCCTCTGGTGGAAATTTTTTCATTCTTTCTGCATTGACAGGATGCCAAATCAATATTTACTTCCCACTAACAAGCTGCTCGAGGTCTCAGTAGAAAATATTGTAGAGAATGCGGGAAGACACAGTAATAAACAGCTGTCTGGCTGTGAGGAAAACATGAATTGACTGGAAACAGGTCCATAGTAAAAGGTCACTGAAACCCATGAACTCCTCAGGTGTCCATATCAACTACTAACTTTAAAGACACATAATAAAGAATCTCTTTTCCTAAGAGGTCTGAGAGAATGGATCCTTTTCAGTCTAGCAAGCACAGAGGTTGACTCAATAATTTAATTAATGCATTTGCTAAGACCCATGTTGGCTCTATCCCAAGGCATTTGTTTCATTTGTTAAGTCCAAAAGCACAAATAGAGGGTTAACTTTCCTTTCTACCTACTGGAATACTTCTTTACCTAACAGAAGTAAATAATGGGGTAGTGTTTACAAAAAGTTAGACATCTGGTGAAAATGTAAGGCTTGGAATTCTTATTTAGAAGTTTAATATATGAAACAGAAAAATGAAACACCTGTCCTTCAAGAAGTTTCTGAATGTACAACATCCATTCCTTGTCATTTTCAGCATCAATTTTTGTTTTTTCAATTTCCTAAAGAAAAAAAATAGAAACACTGGTGTTAATGAAATTTATATGAACTTGTTTATACTATTAGATACTGAATAAATCTAGAGTAACATTAGTAGAATTACATTCAACAAAGATCAGTCTGTCATCTCAAAGTAGTAACATTTAAATCTATGCTCTTTAAAATTTAATTTATAGATACATACTACGGAAGATATAACTATATTTATTATTTCACGGTAATTCAGAAATATTTAATTTCTACCTTCACAGTGGAGCTCAAAGTAGGGGCTAATATGGGGGTGAAAGCAATTAAAGTGAAAAATAAGATGGAGTTATATAAAAGAATCATTTACAGGTGACCCTCGTGAGATAACACAAAACTTATTCCAAAATCTGACTTGTCAGCAGATAACTAAGGAGTAATTGTTATTACAAACAGAATAGAACATGGCATGACTCTGGTATATTTAAATGCTTGTTGATTCAAACTATCCAATAATCTACTGATAGGCAAGGGACACTCCAACTTAAAGTTCCGTAGGTCATAAAGTATTTTCAGCCCATCAATTAGCGTAGGTCATAAAGTATTTTCAGCCCATCAATTACCATGATAGAATATTTCTGGAATTGAAATGTATTCACATGTACAGTTGATGATTCACTTGAAATTGTAATTCAGTTTACAAAAAAAAAAAAAAAAAAAATAGACTTTCCAAGAAGGGAACAGTGTGAGAAACTATTATTTGTTGAAATTTACTGTATGGCAGGCATCATGCTAGGCACTTCAGATAGGCCATCACAGTTTCTGATGTGAATTTACTACAGTTTGATATAGTGTAAAGAACACAAATCAGGTGATCTGGGCTCTGCTTGGGCAAATCCTTGGACCTCTGGAAAATGTCAGGATCAGTCTATAATGCAATCTAGTAAATATATCAAAATGCACCTATCCCTCTTAGAACAGTGTGTTTATATCTCTTTCAGGAGGGACTTGATTTAAGAGTGTGTGACATGCATGTTACAGTGCTGTGTACTCTGTCTTCAGACTCCACCTGCCCAGAGGCAGAGGTGCCATTTATTCACAGACGTGCACCATCTAGTCTTTGGGGCTATCAAGAGAGATCCTTTTCTAATTCACATACTCAAAGAGGACAACTTTTCTAATCTGCTCATTCAAAGAAGGTTTTTTTTGCTAATTTGTTAGCCCAGAGAATGCATCATTTTAGAGATTACTTGGTCTTGAAAACCTGGTGGCTCTGTGTTCCAGAATATGTACATGTGTTAGCATCACTACTCACATGAGACACTGTGCTAAATCTGTGTGTTTTAAAATTTCTAGGCAACAATAGAGGCCTTACCCTTAAATTTTTGTTAGGTTTCTCATCAATCAACATATTTTAATTAAACGCCTATAATAAGGCTTAGTTAACACCCTTGCCAGAAATAATATTACTCCCATGTGTCTTATATTTGGTACTAATTATGTGATATTGTTCTTGTACTTCAAAGTTTAGAATTTGATAGAAAGTCGCAGACATTTTCGCATAGCTGCTGAATGCACAAACTGGTAATTCACCCATTGGATGAAAATAATACCTGTAGGATTCCTTTTAACTATTATCTAAGGATTCTTGGTAGTTGAAAAAACTTTACATATTGTAGATTTGCTCTATTCCAGAAGATCTTTCAGAAGCTGATGAGGGGGCCAGAGGATGATCTCATACAGACACCCGTGTCTATCATTGAACAAATATTTGTTGAGAAGCTGCTAGTGCCATCATCTTTTAGCATTCCAAAGGATAAAAATCTAATATTCATGAATTAAAGCTCAGAGCCATAGTACGATAGGAATGAGCACCCTACACGTTTCACAAAAGACTGCGCGGTATGAGATTCTGCTGTTTATGAGGCAGTGACTATGTCAAAAATGCAGTGTCTTTCCCAGGAGGTGTGAAATGCTATTAAAGACTATACCTGTATGCATATAAATTCACTCAGACAGAAGTATTTTACCCAATTATAAGCAATAAATATTTTTCAACAGTATATTTTCAAAGCGTATATTGGTGAACAACAATTTTGAATTTAGCTATGAAAGCCAATAGATTTGGCACTTTTTAAAAAATCTCGCAAGGAGAAAAAAACTTCAAATCAGTGGAGACTCAGCTTAACTAAATCCATTTAAGCTAGCTTAATTAAGTATACTGGTTTACATGATATGTAATATGATTAAATTAAAGAAAATGGAGGATAGGAAAAAATAAATGAATTGAATAACAAGTAATTTGAAAGGTTATAAGTACTAGCTTATTTCTATACTATACAGTTAAATTTCTTTAAAGGCTTTTTGAGTTGGTTAATACTTGATGTGTATCTTTCATTGGTACTTTAACAATCTTGCCATTATTAATACTATCTTAAAGATGAAATTCTAAGAGGTATAAAATGAATAAGAATATGTACTTAAGTCCAATGTGTAATAAACACTTTACTAATAAATATTTAAATTATCTCACCACTTCATCTTCTGTGTCTAATATTTCCTCTAAATCTGACCGTGAAATGTTCAGGATAGAAGCTGCCAAGGTCTGGGCTTTATGGGTTGAGGTTTTACAGGCGTCCTTGTTTTTCTTCATTTTTTTAAGCTCTCTTATTTGTCGCCTTACCACGTGGACATCATTTTGTAACTCTTTGGCCAAAGCCTGTAATATATTGGAAAGAAACTGAGCTTATATGAAAGTCATAATGAAGACAAAGCAGTAATAACATAAAAATGTGAAGATACTAACAAATCATTTTTTTTACTAGGATTACTCTGGTTTTAATTATTCTGGAATATAGTGGATTGCTCTTTACCTATTGTCAGCATGCAATAAAAGTTCTCTTCAATGAATACTTAACCAACTTGCTGGATTAAGCAAAGGTCCCCCATCCCTCTTTCAGATACACCAACTGATATCTTGCTTGGTGAATGCTTACAGCAGGCAGGCTATTTTTAATCAGCATCAACCACTTCTACTAGTCGACCTAACACTAAGAATCAGGTTCTACTTATTCCTCAACATGCATATATTATTTTTAACAGGTCAGTTGCATAATTCATTTAATGGTTACATAAACCAATGAAAGATTACTGCAGGAAGAACTGTTTCTATTTTATCTATACTAGATTACAAATGCTTTGGAAAAAGCTGAGAAAGACAAATTGGGTCAAAGTTCAGTTACATGTGGTAAATTATGTGTGAGCAAGACAACAATAAAGGATTGAAGAAAAATCATTAAAAAATCAAGGATTGCTTCACAAGCTTTTCAGTTGACTCTTTGAGAAATCAGTAAAAGCTAGCCCATACCACAACTACGTGTGGGTAACAAAAAGTTACTCCTTAATCTGGTTGGACAGAGGGCCTCAGTACATGGCTTTGTGAGCTGAGAGCAGATTAGTTAGATGTTTGGGCTGTTTCCAATCTTTTGTTAGCACAAGCAATATTACAATAAATAATGGTGCTCAGATATTAATTTTGCATCTCCAGGATATATGGCTAGAATTGAAACTGCTGGATCAAAGGGTACGTAGAACTATAATTTTGACAGCTATTACTTAATTCTATCCCTGTGCTCCATCCAAGATAGTACTAATAAATATCTCCACAAAGAATGTATAAAAGTATCTGTTTCTCTACACGAATAGCAAAATACCAATATGCTATTTCAGAGTAGCTTGTGTTTTCACTGCATTTTAAAGTTTCATTTCTCTGATTATAAACAAGGTTGAGCATCAGTCTTAAGAAATCATTATATTTTATTTGTCATTTTTTGGTTTTTCTTAGGGATTTACAGGAGTTCTTCATGTATTAGGGAAATTATACTTGCCTATTGTGTGTATTTCAATTATTTCATTATTTGTTCTTTTGACAGTACTGTTTTATGTCAAAGAAAAATAATTTTAATTTTGTATGTACTCAAATTAATGAATCTTTTCCTTTCTCACTTTTGAATTTAGTGGGATACTTTAAAAAGCATTCTCCACAATGAGGTACATAAAAAATACTTTCAAATCACAATTTTTTTTGCTACTTTTTTATTTTTCAGTTAAATTTTTTTTGTCCATTTGTAATCATTTGGAAGATCAATACATAAAATCATACTCACTTGTCCCATCACCACTTAGCAAATAGTCCATCTTTCTCCAAGTGATTTCATAAATGTTTATGTCAGTGTCTGAACTTTCTATTCTGTTCCATCTCTTTTTATTCATTAAGTTTTATATTTGAGTATATTTTAACTAATGAGGCTTTATAACAAATTTTAACATTGACTAAAGCTATCTCTCTCTTATTACCCTACTTTATCAGATTTTTATTGGTGTTTTTGCTTGTTTGGTTTTTCATATGAATTTCACATTCAGCTTGTGTAGATTCTCTGCCCCTTAAAAATATCTTACTGTGGTAATTTTATTTCATTCATGTTAAATTTTATTTGGATCATGTTGATACTTTGGAATGCTGAGTCTTCCTAATCAAAGAACATGGTATTCCTTTCCATTTGTTTAGGTCTTTATCTGTGTTTCAAAGGACTGTTTTGAAGTTTTCTCTTTATAGATCTAGTTTATTTCTGGACATTTTATTTTACATATATTTTCTTATTTTTATAGGAGTTTTTCAGTTGATTACTGTTTCTAGGAATTCAAATAACTAACTGTAAAGACTGATAACTTTATCTCCTTTTTTAAATCTTTATACCTCTAATCTACTTTTCCTTTCTTATATATAATATCTCTTAGTTTGATCATGTGTTGTCTTCCTAATTTCTTTTACTTGTCCATCATGTTTTCTTATAGTTGACTGAACTTTAAGAGGACTAATCTGAATTTGTTGTCAGTTTCTATATATTCATTTACTTAGGGTTAATTATTTGAGCTTTATTATTTCCCTTTGATTATGTCATTTACCCATGATTCTTCATAATCCCTGTATCCCTGCATTGGTGTCTGTACATTTAAGGAAGCAGCCATTTCTTCCAGCCTTTACAGGGTTTCTTCAGCAGGAAGAGTCCTTCACCAGTCAGTCCAACCTTTGGATCTGAACAGGCCAGCAGATAACATCCATGGGTAAGTAGGCAGTACTTGCTGTCAGGTTCTCTAGCTGGGTGGGGCTGCTGTCCATACTGCTAAGGTCAGGTGGGGCCACTGGTTGGGCTCTGCAGTCAGACAGGGCTGCTGGCTGGGCTCTAGAATTGCTTCTTATTGGGCAGGATCACAGGCTATGCTCATTGGCCATGTGCTGCCATGTGTTAGGCTTTGCAATTGGGCTACAGGTAGGCTTCATAACCATCCACAGTTGGGGGGCATCCAGGATAGGCTCTCTGGTCAAATAATGCTGCTGGTTGGATTCCTTGCTCAGGCAGGGCTGCACATTGGGCTCCAGGATGACGCAGGGCTGCAAGATGTACTCTGCAGTTGGGTGGGGATCATTGGCTTGGTTCCCTGTCTGGACAGGACCACTGGCTTTGCTCTGTGGTTACTCAGTGTTGTTACAGGACTCCCAGGTCAGGGTGGCTGCAAGCTGGGTTCCATGATTAAGCGGGGCTACAGGCTGGGTTCCTTGACCAGGTGAGGCTGTTGATGTGCTCTGCACTTGAGCTCCCTGGTTGGATGGGGCTACCAGCTGTGCCCCATAGTGTTTGGGGCTAAAAGCTGCACTCCACAGCTAGCCAAGATCCTTGGTTGGATGGGGCTGTCAGCTGTACCTCACAGTTGGGGCTAAAGGCTGCACTCTATGATCAGGTGAGGTAACTGACTGTACTCTGGGGTCTGGCAGGGTCAACGGCTTGACTCCCAGCCCAGGCATGGGCATAGGCTGTGCTTAGCAAACGGTCAGGGCTGTGGGCTGAACTCTACAGCCAGGTGGGGTTGCTAACTAGGCTCCTTGGTCAGCGGGGTCCAGACTGTGCCCCATAGTTGGGTAGGGACTGTGGTGAGGCTCCCTGCCTGGGTGGGTATGTAAGCTGGGATCTGGGGCTGGGAAGGTTGCTGTTCAAGGTCTCAAGGTAGACAGGGCCAGAGGCTGGGCTCTGACAAGGTTGCCGGCTTGGCTCCCAGTCTAGGCAAGGGCTTAACCAATTTGTTTTTGTGTATTATACACATAGCTTAAGATTCCTATGTACTTCTCCTTGATTACATTTCCTTTGTATTATTATCTTTATTTATTTATTTATTTATTTATTTATTTATTGAGATGGAGTCTCACTCTGTCGCCCAGGATGGAGTGCAGTGGCGCAATCTCAGCTCACTGCAAGTTCCACCTCCCGGGTTCACGCCATTCTCCTGCCTCAGCCTCCCGAGTAGCTGGGACTACAGGCACCTGCCACCACGCCTGGCTAAGTTTTATTTATTTATTTATTTATTTATTTATTTATTTATTTATTTATACTTTTAGTAGAGATGGGGTTTCACCATGTTAACCAGGATGGTCTCGATCTCCTGACCTCGTGATCCGCCCGCCTCAGCCTCCCAAAGTGTTGGGATTACAGGCGTGAGCCACTGTACCCAGCCTGTATTATTTTTCTAATATCTAAAGTTCAAAGTTACATTTTGGCTGAATTACAAAGGTTTTAATATTCTCACTGCTGTTTAATTTGAAACAGTTCACAAACTCACTTTTTATTTCTTCCTTAACCCTAAATCAGATAGAAGGGTTTACAATTTTTAGGTGGATAGATAAATTTTGGCCACTTATTTTGTTAAATCACAGTTGTATTACACCATGTTCAAGGCAGATAGCTAAAACAATTTTTCTGTTTTTGAATTTGTTAAATTTTGTGGCTTAAGATGTAAGCAGTTTCTGTGAATGTTCCATATGGCTTTAAAAAGAAAGTAGCCTTATGTTTTCTCTACTTGAGTTATTGATTTCTGAGTATAGTACATATTAAATATACTGCAGGACAGTAAATACACCTAAGGATTCATCAATTTCTTTTTTGAATTTCCATCAAATTTTGCTTAACATGTTGTCAGATACATAAACATTCATAATTTCTACATTTTCTTTACAAACTATCCATTCTTGTCATTCCTAATGCTTTTTGCCATTAATTTCGTCTTAGAATAATATTGCTATATATTCTTTTTTTTTTTTTAGCATTTATCTGATGTATATTTAGTTGTGTGCTTGGTAAATCAGTTCTTTGGATGTTGGGGGAAGAGCATGACTTGTAATGTTTGTTGATTTTTGTGGTACAGATTTTTTTTTTTTATTTTTCAGAGATGGGGTCTTGCTCTGTCACCTGGGCTGAAATGCAGTGGTGTAATCATAGCTCAGTAGAGTCTTGAATTCCTAGGCTCAAGTGATCATCCTGTCTTGGCCTTGCAAAGTGTTGGGATTACAAGCATGAACCCACCATGCCTGGCCAATTTCTGTGAAATAAATATACATACCATGATTGATTTCAAGCAATCAACATGAATAAGGAGTTGGGAAGAGACATACAAAACTGGCTGTTGTGGTACAAGCTAGTCCCAGGATAACATATTTTTAAACTCTTTCATTTTTAAAGCTTTTGGATAACTATATTTTAAGTGCATCTGTTTTCTATCATAGTCTGTCTTCTTTCCTCTTTGTTCAAAAGATACATTTCAGCTCTACTATTTATATTGTAGTTATTGGTATATTTGGATTTATACCAGTCATGTAATTCTATCTTTTTG